GGGGCGGGGGTCCTGGCCTAGGAGAGGCAAGGGGGCTGTCCGCGGGCTGGGGACCGGGGCGACGAGGGGCTGGCTGCAGGAAGCGGTCCGTTTAGCCGTCCCCTGTTGGGGGTGGCCGTGGCCACCCCGCACTGCTTCCCCCCATTGTCCCCTTGGCGTCTGTCGCCTGTTCTCCCCCGAGGACCCGTCGCTCCTGCCCTCGCCTACTGGCTGGTGGTCGCGGTCGGGCCGCAGCGCGGGGATCCTGGGGTGTATTCCACTCTTCACCCCACACTGCAGCCTCCAGCCAGCTGTACCTGCCCTTGGCTGTGCAGCCGCGGAGTTGCGTGACGCGTGCCCTGAGGTTTCCTTTACTGGGCACGGAGGACCCCGACCCGCGGCTCTTTTGGGGCAGGAAGTGTGCACCAGAGGCAGCAGTAATGACAATTTGGGGCCCATTTTGGCTTTGTATAGTAGGGGAAACTGAGGCACAGAGGCTCTTTGGCCTGTGACTGAAGTGTTGACAGAGCCTAGTCTTTATACCTGTGCTATGCGCTGTTCAAGGTTCTGGGGTATGACTGTGATGCTGCTAAAATAAAAGCAAGAATTTAAACTGAATTCACTGTTACTTCTTCACCACTGCCTGAACTGTGCTTTCCGCCTTTACCTCTGCACCATAGAGGGCCTTAATTTTTTTCCTGCAATATAAAAGATGACAACTTGATCCCAGAAAAGCAACTGTCCTTCTTTCCGCCCTTGGGTTACCTTCTTTTCAGCTTATTTTCATATTCTTGCACCCTTGTAGTGACTCTGAAAAGTCTGTACTCACTTGGTGGTTATCAAACTTTTCTCATTTGTGGGGAACACTCTGATGGAGGACAAGATAGTTTGGATGGTCCCATAGAGTATTGCGTTTTCTCATATGCAGACACCTCCAAAAAACTTGACTTGCATTAATGGAGAGTGCTTTTAACATAAAACAAGATATTACTGATATGTTCTAACACACAAGCTTTATGTATGACAGACTAGGTAGGTCTGTGAACCACTCAGAAGATTCTCACAGACTAGTCTGTTGTAAATGACTGCATTTCTGCCAAAAGTGGACATCAAAATTTTGCACCTATTTCTGGATATTTATCTAGTTGTGGTGACTCCCAAGAATTGCCTGCACTGGGACCTATTACTTGAAATACCTCTTACTAACACCCTTTCAAAGATCACTTAACTATTTAAGTGATCTAGTAAGTAATTTCTTACTAACACCCTTTCAAAGATCACTTAACTATTTTCTCCTGGAGCCCAACTTTTTCTGTTTCTTTCTGTTGTAAGGACATGCTGAGGGAAGGATACATTTGTTTAAAAAATTTGAAACCTCCAATCTGCAATTTCTTTCTGAATGTACAGAGCATGATGGCAGCATCTGAGGTCGCTGGTGTTGTGGCTAATGCCCCCAATCCTCCGGAATCCTCTTCTAGTTTATGTGCTTCCAAATCAGATGACAGTCTCCCAGATGGTCTAAGGTACTGTATGAATTCTTGATCGGGTATATTTTGTGTGGGTAAAGGACTTTTGAGATGGGTTAATGGAAGGTAGCTGAGCCTTCCTGTTTCGGGTGTTAGCAGCACTGCACTAGATTCCGTCTGATCTGTACTTGTATCTCTGATATCCAGTACAGCTCTGACACTCAGCAGGCATGCTAAATGTTTGTTGAATAAACAGATGAGAAAGCAGGCGGTTAGACATTCCAAAATCCAAATACTTCCCCACGCTATCCTACGTGGACTTACGTTCATTTAATTATATGTTTATGTATCCTCTCTCTGTGTGTTTGTGTGTAGATAGACTGTTCTAGATTACATGTGTGTATAGACACATATATACACACATATGTGTATGTTGGTATATACACACATATGTTGGTACACACACATATATGTATGTATATCCATAGATACATAGATCTGTCTTTGAGATTATTATTTACTGGGTACTTTTGCTAAACACTTGAGGGCACACTTGATTGTCACACATTTTACAGTGGCTCACACATTGTTACATACAATGCTGTACTAAATTGAGATTATATATTCTACTTGAACTCTTTTTAGAGAGTATCTAGGATCTAATTCAGTACATAATGTTGTACTAACAGCTTTTTGTATATTCGTACATTGACAATAGTACAAGGAGTTAGGCGCTAATATTATCATTCCCATTTACAGGTGAGGAAACTGAGACACAGAGAGGTTAGTAACTTGCCCATGGTTGCCAAGCTGTCTTAGAGTTAGGGTTTAAACTGTGGCTTCTCAGACTTCACAGTACTCTCTAAATATTTGTTTAATTGAAGGAGTTTTGTAGTGAATGGATAATGGGAAAAGTGTTAAAGTAAGCCTAACTGTAAACTTGGGCTTTCATTTTATAAATAGAATCAGCCTCATACAACGCGTAGTAATAATAGCACTGAGGTTTTTTGAGTGTTTACTCTGCACCATTACCGTCTAAATTCTTCGTTGTATTATACAGTCTTCACAGTAATCCTAATACGTGGGTAATATTACTTCTCTTTTATAAGTGAAGTGAATTTAAGTGCTTGCCCAGAGTTAAGTCAGGGTGCTTGGGATTCCCAGTGAAGTACTGTTTATGTCCAGATTTATAATTAAGTATCCCTTCTACCTCATTTAACTCCCAGAAAGGAAGCAGTTTGGTGTTTATAAAAATATTAATGTCACAGGATTGTCTCTTGATTCTTTTATTTTTCAGCAAGTACAGTTGAAGGGAAGCCTCAGTCACTGCTAATTTGGGGCACATCAGGGATTACTTGATAGAGTCAGGGCAAAAAATGAAAAGGTAAATAAAGGACAAAAATGAAAACAACACATAGATTTAGTCATTATTCATGGTGAAAGATATACAGATTTAAAGATTGGGTATCATTGTATATAAATTTTAAGATTTCTTTAAAATGCAGTCTGTTAATCACAATATACATAGATATCACAATCCTGATGTTATAAATGTTATACTTGTCATCTGGGATAAAAATTCTCTTGACAGTTTTAATTTTGGATTCAAAATTGTTTCTACTTCAGATAACTGAAGTGAAGGTGTTAGGCTCTGTAAAACTATTGCTGTATCTAAAAAATGGTTCTGGTCAAAGATTCGTATAATGAGTGTCAGTGAAGAAAGATTCTGTAATATGTGAGAGTAGAATTAAAAACAAAATTTCTGAAGTAATTTTTTCCATGTTGAGATACTATGTGTAGCTAAGTTAGTACAAATAATTAAATATTCTAACAAACATTAAACTATTTCATTCTCTTTTTCCAAATTGGCACTCAAAAGTACTTTTGATCTTCAGAAACATTTATATTTTGTCTGTTACTATAAAGTTCTAGAGGCCCAGAACTCTGGTGGTTAACCACCACACAGTTCCTTTTCATTCTGCTAACTTGGGGGGCTTTTATAGTCTAGTGATCTGGGGTTTTTTTTTTTTTTCCTAGTGGTTAAGTTTAAAATGTTATGTCATATATCTCATATGAGTGAAGAGAGAAAATGTTTATCTTATGTTTTTGATAGCTCTAAAGACCCCGCACAGAAGCACAAGAACTCTCCTCTGTCAAGTGTAAGTAGCCAAACGATAACCAAGGAGAATAACAGAAATGCCCATTTGGAACACCCAGAGCAGAATCCTGGTTCATCAGCAGGTGACACTTCAGCCGCACACCGGGCGGTTTTAGGAGAAAACTTGATAGCCACAGCCCTGTGTCTTTCTGGCGGTGGGTCTCAGTCTGATTTGAAGGACGTGGCCAACAAAGCAGGAGAGGAGGGGGACACGCGCCTGCGGGAGAGCCTCCATCCAGTCACTCTTAAGGCAGGGTGCCACACAAAGCAGCTGGCCTCCGGGAATTGTTCTGAAGAGAAATGCCCACAAGCCTCCATCCTAAAGGAAGGTAGCAGGGACACAGGCTTGGATTTCCGACCTGTGGTGCCTCCAGCAAATGGGGTTGAAGGAGTCAGAGTGGATCAGGATGATGATCAGGATAGCTCTTCCCTGAAGCTTTCTCAGAACATTGCTGTACAGGTCAAGTATCAAGTTTCTACTACTAAACTGGAATGGGGGTTTTTATTTATTTATTTTGAGGGGGTGCAGTATTTCTTAATACTTGGTGGAGAACTATTCCGTCTCTTTTTTATGGGCAGCTCTCAAATACTTTCATATAGTGCTGTGTGATGACTTCATTCTTGCATTCAATAAATCATAAAGCCAGGAGCCAGTGTCTAATTGCAGGGACTAGGTGCTTTATGGCTTACTTTATGCTTGCATGTGTCTCTTTCACCGAGTAATTGATGAGTGTAGGTCCGTAGTAGTCATACTTCCCATCTTTGTCCTTTAACAAGGAATATTTGTTCATTCTCTGACCTACATCTTAAGAAGTACAGTGTATCCTGCTTTCTAACAACTAATACACTCTGTTGCGGGAACAAGGAAGGGCACAAAAGGTGTAGGAGCCAAAATTCTTATCTGGGACTTGAGACTGCCAGTTGTCGGTCTTATGGGTGTCTTGTGGGGTAAAAGCTTGGTGCAGGATGGGTGTCAGCGGCCACCTGCCACAGTTGCCA